ATACTCTGGAACCATGACCATAAAAAATAGCCTTTCATGCTCTCCAAGGAACCATGACCATAAAAAATAGCTATGTGCAAGAAAATAATGTAAACTTTCTTCTTACTTTTGTTGTCTTTTTGGCTGTTAATTAAGCCCCTAATTGTAAAAATAGGATATAAATGTATCATGCTAAATGCAAAGGGAAGAAGGAGAATTAGAATGACTTAGAATTAAAGTCATCAAGATCACTTGACTGTTGGTCTTGTGTTCTTGCATCGGTCCTTCTACCCACCTTCCTGTTCCCTCTTCGAGACCCTAGACCTCAGGCTTATAAGCAGCCTGTGGCACATTTCCAAGCCATAGTCTTTGATAATAACATTCTCAGAAGCATGTTTGACCTAGCTTCTTTTGCCTCCAGGACAGAATGTGTGACTTTTTCTCAGTGACTGTTGTCCTCTTTCTGGTGCTTCTACAGTCCCAAGCACAATGCCCATTTTGAACAAATAGGCACTCCCTAAAAGCTGACCAAAGTGGAGAAGTTTTATGACCACTTTTTTTCAAAGGAGCACACTTTCCAGAGTGGGTAAAACTCCCCCCCAAAAAAACCCCACTGACTATAAGCTCAAGTTCAGTCCTGCGGAAGATGTTGGGGAGGCAATCTTTGATGCCAAGTTCCTGTCCTCCCAGAATTGTAATAACATGCATATGAATATTCCAATTTCTTTGTCTTATTGGCAGTTGGTTTTTTGGGACAGCGTAGGAGGGGAAGGCCCTCTATGAGGTGGATTGATTCAGTGACTGGGATAATCGGGATGGGAGTATCCGAGACAGTGCGATTGGCACAGGACAGAGCAGAGTTTAGGGCTGTTGTACATAGGGTCGCTATGAGTCACAAGCGACTTGGGCACATAACAACAAACAACATTGGCAGTTGACTAAGGAAAGAACCCCTTGGGTTCAGTAACAAGACTTAAAATCAGCTCAAAATATAAAGAGGAAATCTGGAGAGAGGGAGATAAAGTCCGTGATTCAGAACAAAGCCAGAAGCCATGAGGTTAAAGTTGAAAACTCTTTCTCTAGTCCTTGAAAAGGTTATATTTGAGGCAAGGTCAGAAAATCTTATCCTTAAGTGAACAGCAGGAAGTGTCTATCAGTTACAAGATTACAGGGGCGGGGAGGCAAACTACTGTGCTTAAAGAATTCAATCTAGATAAGCTGACCTAGAGGCAGTCTTAAGAACAGAGGAGGGAGACACTGGATGGTTCAGAATCAAGAAGGGGGTCCATCAGGGACAGATCATCCGAGACCCTGGGCTGTATGAGGAGGAATGTGACCCAATTTGCAGCATCAGTATGGATGGTGAAGTGATTGAGATAGTTAACAATTGTTGTTTACTTGGCTCCACAGTCAACACTCTTGGTAATAATAGCAGCCCGGAAATCTGGAGACTAATTGCGTTGGGAAAGTCAGCTTTCCCAAAGTGAGGGACCTCTCGAGTACTGAAGTGGAACAACATCAGGCTGGAGACTAAGGGGTGCCCCATAAAATTAAGTGTAACAATCTTTACACTAGCAAAAGTATAATAAGCTAAGGATTTTGGTCCTTATATATACATACATATATGTACACATGTACACACACAATAATATACCAAAAAAACCCACAAAGCTGTGAATCCACTTATAGCTTTCATATTGCACGGAATGATTCATTGTGAGAACATTACATGGTTATGATGTGAGTACTACACTGGTAATTGGCTAGAAGTGTTTTTCACTTAGTGCTTAGTCGAGGTAACAGCAATGATAAAACCTCTCAAACCAAAAAATACGCTTTATTCTTAATTTCACAATTGGATCTTGATAATACATGAACTCACACCCACAGAAGCTTTAAGTCCTCCATTTTTCTGTGTTGTATGCTGCTTCTGAAAACAAAATTGTCTAAAGTTATTGGAATGAATTTGCTTTTTAATCAGCTCAAGCTTAAAGTATAATTTTGTAAAAAAAAATTTGTCTCTCTTATAAAAAAATTTAAGGCTTTTCTTCCAGCCCGATTTTCA